TTCGATTTGCAACGGGAACGAATTAAGCGAAGGGGACGGATTATGGTGGAACTAAACAAGTTTAGATAAAATCCCTTTTTTCGTGCTTCTGTCGCTGTTGAGAGGACAATATCCAAATTTTGAGGTTTAAATGTGAGAAAGCCTAACGTTATTTTTGAACGGTTCTAAACGATTTTGGACAAGCATTCGAGAGTATTATTTCACAACGGCTGTTCCTGTGCATCAGGCGTCCGCCGCCCGGTGTTAACTGCAGCAGCCAACGCCACTTGGTTTGGTGGGCACTGCATCCCCGGTCATCGGTGAGCGCGCAGACTCCAAATGTGTATGTAATTTGCTTCGCAAGCTGGTTCTGAACAAGAATCGACCTATTCTTCCGTGTTGGCCTTTTTTCATTTTGTACCTTATTTTCTTCCGCCCCATTGGGCTCTACGGTAACCCCGTACCTTTTCCGAGCAAGGGGCCTAATGGATTTGAACAATGGGTGACACATTCTATTTCCGGTCAGGGACTTAGGGGCCAGTCCATTACAACGCGGGGTGCCTGCCGGCTGTGATCCCGGCAGTACAGGGGCGGCGTCCCCTGCCCGATACCAAAGTCCCCGGAGGGACCAATCATACATCGGTCGTCTGTCTGACGCCGGAGGCCCGCTCACGTGGGCATCGGGCCCCGAATTGGTTGCAAGAGTTCTGATTTAGCTAAAAGACAGCTTTTCACTGTTTCAGGTGGTCAAATAATTGGCACAGGGACTCCAGATCGACAGCCCTCGGTTTAAATGGCGTTGAGGGCCTCGTTTGGTACTGGGACTCTGACTGGCCAGGGCCTTTCCATTGGCTTATTGGGTACGCTCATTATGAGTTATAGCATCTCCCTTCATTGCCAGAGGGTCTCGACCAACGCAATAGACCCTCTGGCATTCGGGGTCCCGTTCGTGTTCCTATTCAGCAAACGTTTATCTGGCCGACTCAGGGCCCCTTACCGGCACAGAAACCTCTGTTCGGCACTGTGGGCCCCTGAACGACTCATAGACGCTCATTGCTTCAAAGGTCTCAAACACCCGACCAATGCTAATCGCGGGCCCCGGCCTTGTCCCTGCTTGGGAAATGGATTCCTAGGGCTCAGGCCGACACAGAGCCGACTGTTTGGCGTCGGTGATGTCTGCCCCAAATAGAGACGCACCGCTCTTCAATGCGTCATTGTTTGATTATGTCACTGTACCTTGCACAGCATTGGTTGAGACGTAATATCCAGATCCAACGGCCTCAAAAATTATTGAGACTGTTACATTTGGAAGTCGTGCTCGCGAACCCCATGCGTGAACGACTCGACAATTATATTTTTATTGGCCTTGGTCGCCTCATGGGTAATAGAATGTCAGAATTTTAACGACGTTACTGTGGCGTAATGGATACCTGGGTAACCTTGAGATATTCTTCCTTAAAAGATCTGTGCATCTTTGCGGGCGTGTAGCTCAGAAACTAGAGGGGTTAAGGCCCTAAGAAGGGCAGGGCTGTGAACTGCACCGAATGCTCCTCAAGATGGCCATTTCAGTTCAAAACCTCGCACAGCTGTGGAACACTCCGCTTTGATGTGACTTGCAGAAAGGCCTCCGTCCCCTCCAATCAAACATTTGATCGTCGGTCTCGAGAGGCTTTTCGGGCTTGTCAGCAGGGCCCTCATACACTGCCCAGTTAGAATCTGGATTCCTTGCAAATACAGCACCCTTGTGAGGCGGCGTGGTGCGCTGACCGACAAAGGGGGCCCTCGTTGACTCAGGGGCCCAGACCAATGTAAATGGCGGGCGCCGGCCTGGTCTCTGCTGGGAAATGCCTCTCAGTCCCAGACCTGACGTTAGAGTTACCTGGTGGCGAGTCCATCGCGTGATACGGTCGTTAAGCCTTCACCTCAGCGGCGTGTTTCGCCAACTAGGATTTGAGGTGGGCGAGGGGCTGAGCGGGGGAAGCCCGGCCCGTAATTCACTTAAAATAGCTTTCCCCCTGCTTGATATGTTTTCCCACTCTGTCTCGGCGTAAGATGTTGTCGTCGGGCATCGTAGTCATTTTGTTTGGCATCTATCGTCGAAACCATGTTTCGGTAATTTACATAGGGTCGATGTTTTGTTGCTTCAGACGCTGTTAAACTAAGTGACTAGGAGAAAGGAGTGCAAGGTGATGTGTGCGACTATTACAGGCTGCCTTGTAAATATTCGGCTGGTAGCTGCAAGGACGGGTGCTGGTTACAGCGCAGCACTCACGTTTGGCATGTTCGACACGGCTAGTGTTGTTTTGGTGGTCACTGTTGGACGATTGCCGCTATTCGTTTAGCCGGCTGGTGTCGATTGTCAGGTTTTAAGTGTAACTGTTCCTTTAAGTGTTTACATAGTGAAGGCCGGTGCATTTCAAGGGTTCCTTCGAACGTAGACGGCTAATAAGTTGGTAACATTTCTTGGGCGCTAATATTTTACTGTCATGTTTCACTTTCCGATAAGAGATCGTAGCAAAACAAGGCAACTTGCTGCAGTCCGTAGAGGCCGAAACACCGCTGCACAATGCCAAAACACTCAGAGAACAGCACAATGCTTAGCCAGAATCAGTGGGACATATGAATCTTCTAATAAAAGAAACATTCAGCATGCAGGAAGAGCAGAGATACTCAAGTAAACATAGTACAAACGTGAGGCGTTTTGAGTGTAAATGGCTTAGACATCTGCACTCAACTGAACATGACATCTTAGTTTACACTTTATTTTCTTTTTTACCCGTGAAACGATTAGTAGAAACCTCGTTTCAAATCGATATAATTTTGAGCTCCCATTTTTGGCCTGCACTTAGGGTCCACACGGTTATGGGCCAAAACCACCGTTGGGGGGGGGGGGGGGCAATTGGACATTGGGGGGCGGGGGGGCAATGACCCACCCAAAAGAATACAACTCGACACCCGTGTATGCCCCCGGTTCTTGCAGGCGGGGGATACCCAATGAAACAGCGCTATTCTCCGTGCAGCGTGACGCATACACAGGCAGCTGGCATGTGGGTGCGACTGCGGACGGACCACCAAGCGGGGTGGTCGGTCTGCGGCGGAAATCTGGGGCTCTTCCGAGTACCGGCGGCGAGCGCCAGTACCGCAGCAGAGATGCTGCTGGTGGCGGGTGGGAAGGGTGTTGTTTTCTATCGTTGGCCAGCGGTGGAAATGCGCCCAGACGTGAGTGTTGGGACAGCATGCTGTTAGTGTACGTAAGCAGAGAGATGTACGTCAGGGAAGAAATCAGTTAGACCTGCAAGGGCTGCGGGACTATAGTCTTAGCGTAGATAAAAGGCAAAAGTCTTCTAGTGGCCACGTGCTGTTTCATTCACAATTCTGTTCCGAGTAAATCACCCAAATGACCTTGTGGTTCAATCGTTTCGCAATAAGACGGCAATCTGCTCATTATGTTATGAAAGATGAGCCAGTTCGGTACAACCAGCGCGACGCTCAGACGCCGCATGTTACGAGGGAAATGCCGTTTTGTTAGGAAATTCGATCTCACGCTGATCCCATTCCCCTCACCCACGTGGCAACAGAATTAATCACCACTGCGTAGTAAATCCAACTGTATTTCTTAACCGAAGGGCCTCTCGCCCACTCCGGTCCCCTGACCCCCCCCCCCCCCCCGCCTTGCCGACAGATCGTTCGGAGCACCGTGATGGCGCTGGTGGCGGCGCTGGCCGGCGGCGCGGCGTACCTGCTCCAGCGTGGCGATCTGTGGCGCACTGCTGCCGACACCGTGCACGCGCAGGCGCGGCAGGCGCTGGCCGGGCTCGGCCTGTGAGCGGCGCATGCGCAGACTCCGAACGCTGGAAGACGGGCGGAGCACGAACAACGCGTCCAGGGGAGGGACGACGTTTCCGGTGGGGAAACTGGCGGACAGGACTCTCATGAAAAGATGTGGGGCTGCTGGCAGGTGACCTCACGTATCTGATGCCCGCCGACGGATGTGCGGTGGCGGCGGAACATGAGGTATTTGCCGGGCCTGTCCGTGACGTATCCCCGAAACAGCAACTCCGGTGCCGCGGGGCGGAGCCGCCTGTGACCTTGTGTGAGATGACCGGTGATCCGTTCATGCATTCTGTCCCAGTTTTTTTCGCCCTCAATAGTGTGACGCCTTTATGAAAAGGCCATTCATCGAATACCCCACTCGAAGCACGCAGACGCCCGCTGCACCGTCGGGATCTCGGCGCCGTCCGGACAGCTGGCTCGGGCCTGCTCGCACGGATTGACCTCGCGTGCGAGCAGCTGCAGTAGACACCCCACTACGGAGCACTTGTTCAGCCATGTGTTCAGCCAGGGCGTGACTTTGTACCGCACCAGCAAGGACGTACAGACGGGCCTGCGATCCTGGCCCCACACCACCGCGCGTGCGGACTTCGCGTTGTGGGGAGACGATTGGCCCTAAGTGGAAAAGGGGCGGCATATCTGCGCTAGGACGACGCAGGACCGGCCTAATGCCCACATCCCTCCACGGCTGTCCGCACCGCCCGCTGACGCGCTCTGAAGCCCTCGACTCCGTGCAACGCCGTCCGAGAAACAGTTTCAGCCGCCCGGGACGCGGGTCACCGGTCTCTCTCCCGCAAACGTCGCCACTGACGCGTGTGCCGCCGGCCGTCACCGCGTCCGCCTGTCCCACGACTCGCTGGGGCTGTTCCTCCCCGAAGGACGATTCGGCGCGCCCTCCCGAGCGAGGTCATCGCGTGTTTACCCACAGTATCAGCTGCAGGTTGCTGCTGCGGTCTCCTGTTAGAATATGTGCGACCCTGAATACAGTCATAGTGCTAACAGTCGGAATTTGTCGTATCCAGGCGTGTGAGAGCTTAGGCCAAGGCCTTCCAGATGCCGTATGCTTGTCGTCTCGGCTTACTCCGTGACTTGTTCGACAACGTCGGCACGTGCAAATGAAAAAAAACAGGCCATCAGCCCTAATAACGCCTTCTTGTCCCGCGGACAGTGCGCACCTAGAAAACACAACCGTCATGCTGCAGCTCAATTCATACGACTGTATATTTGCACGCACAATACACTAACGGAGCACCGTGGGAGCGGACTCGCTCCAGGCAACTGATGAGTCCCAACCTCAGATTCCCTTGCAGGGCGTAAACACAGGTACAAATACGACAGCGTAACTTCGGCCGATGGATCAATGGTAAACGAATATAACAGAGTCGAACAGGGTGACGAACACTCCCCGCGCGTGGCGGGGCGCCAGAGCGGCCTAGCCCGCCTCCACGGCTGATAACGCCACAACAACGCGCCGTCGCAGCCGCGGCTACGAGGGGTGCCCATGCGGCCCGGATGATGATGATGAAGGCGATGCTGATGGTAACGATAACGCCACGGAGGCGGCGGGCGAGGGCAGCGACGCCGCCACCACGGCCGAAGACACGTCGACCGGCTTCTGGTGCACGGCGTGACCTGCAGCGGAGGCGCCGCCGTGCTCAGTCTGGCGCTTTCTGGAGTCGGGCGCCAGCGGCGTGGGGCCGAACATGCCCAGAACAGCGTTCCGCACACCTCTCCCACAAGAGCGGCAAAACGAGCCTATCTTCGCCAGGCGGGTCATCAAGCGTGCTCTGACGGCCACCTCGCAGACAATGCACGAGTCTGGCAGTCGGAGATCACGCCACTCCTGCCGCACCGCGCCGGCCCGGCGAGGCCGGCCGGCGGCCGGGCTCCATCATCCACTTCTGCACACTTCTGTTACTACTGCATTACTAGGTACTACCGCACACCGCCAGTACTGCGCTCGCCGTCCGGCGGCCGCTCGCCTCTCACCTCGGGCCGGCAGCGGGCCGGCCGGGTGCGGCAGCTGGACCAGCTTGTAGCCCTGCAGGCCCTTGAGGCCGGGCAGCAGCACGGGCTGGTGGGCGGCGGAGCTGAGCACCACCGTCCGGCCGGCGGTCACCGGGCGGACGGCCGCCACCCCCGCCAGACTGCGGGTCAGGTCACACACGTCACGCAGGTCGCGACGCACGGCCCGACGGCGGCGGCTGTCGAGTTACGGATCACCGCACGTACGTCCGTGCGCCTTAGTACGAGTCACACAGAGGTCAAGTGAGGGTCAAAGGTCAGATTTTAGACACGGGCTGCGGGTTGAGCACGAAGATTCTTCGCTCATTCGATGTCATACACATGTCTGTAGCGCCGGCGACTGGCATCACACAAACTCGGAGCGGCGGTTGAGACGCCACGCCTCACACAAAATCACAGCAGCGGCAATGGGACCACCGCGGCCGGCGCCGACCCCGGCTAAGCCGAGAAGACTGCGCCAGCCAAGCTCATGGTGAGCGTCGCATGCCGCATTCTCGCCACGCGCCGTATCGCCTTAAGAGTACCAGACCTTCGCTGAAGGTCTGCCAGCGCCGCCACAATACAAAAAATAAGTTCTTGCGGATCTGAGCAGAGCTGACCTGACCATGCTTGATTACAAGTAAAAATTGGTTAAAAGCTACGCTGGCCTCAATCCGTCACTTACTTCGACTTTGTTAGCCTTGAAGACAGCACATCAGTAAGCTGACGAAGGCGTACTAGTAGGGACTTTGTGATGAGATTAGCTGGGCTTCACGCAGTATTTTTAATAACCGTAGCACAACTCCCACAGCTGTACCAAACGTCTCCACACCCCGTACACAAACGGACAGAACAGAGCCAGCCTCGTAAGCAGGACCAGCCCACCCTGCGCCACGCAGCCAGGACAGGGTGAGCCCGTGGGCCCGTGGGATGGGTCCGTGGAGCGCGGTCCGTCAGGGGCCCCGTCCGCGGCCCTGGGCGCGGGCGCGGGTCCTCCCTCGGCGCGCGCGCGTCCCGCGTGCTCACCGTGAGCTGCAGGTGGCCAGCGGCCGAGGAGAGCGTCGCCGCCGCCGCCGTCAGCCGGCTGGGCGTGTGCACGGCCGGGCCCGGGTGGCTGCTCTGGATCAACACCTGCGGCCGAGCGGCGCCGGTCACGCGACGGCGGGGCACACCACCTGGCGGAGGCAGCCGGCCGGGGGCCAGCCGGGGCCGCCGCACCGCGCACGCCGGTCACACGCCCCGGCCGGGCGTCGCCGCCCGCCCGCCCCCAAAGGAGCCGCTCGACGGCGTCACCGGGCGACTATCCGCCAGCGACGGCCGGCCGCCGCACAGTCAGCAGAGGCCTGAACAGCCGCGGCGAGAGATCGCCGGCACCGTCCAGCCGTCCGCCGCCACCACTCCCACGCGCCGAGCTCAGCCCAGCTGATCGCACTCGCCGGCGAGGCGCCGCTCCCCGGCGGTGCGCCGACTGACCTGCGGCTGCTGCTGGGCGGGCTTGGCGGCCGGGCGCGCGGCGATCAGCACCTGCTTGCCGCCGATCTGGGCGAGCGTGAGCGCGCCGCCGGCCGGGCCGGGCGCGCCCTGCTGCTGCAGCAGCCGGCTCAGCTGCGACACCGGGATCGTGATGTGCTTCAGCTGCTGACCGCCGGCCGGCGACGCCGCCGCCGCTGCCGCCGCCGCCGTCGGAGCGGCGCCCGCCGCCACCAGACGCGGCGCCGACGCCGAGGACGCCACCTGTCGGCCGCGCGGCGGGCGTGTCACGCGCGGCGGCGGTACCCGGCCCACTCCACGACAATGCCGGACGGCCAGCCCCAGCCGCGCGGTCTCGAGAACACGCGGGGTAACGTGACGCAGGCGAAACACGCGTCGCTCGCCGGCTGCCTGTGCCCTCCCGAGCGCGTTGGGGCGTGACGCACATAGCGGTCTGGATCGCTTCTGCAGCGACGGGCCCGTCTGCAGACGGCACACACTGCCCCGACTGCACGGTCGACACGGCCCAGTGGAGCGGCCGGCGCACTTTGTCCACCTCAGCCGCCCCTCAGTGAGCGGGAGCGAGACGGTGCTGGTGCGCCGGGTTCATCATCTCTGCACCGTATCTCACTGGCCATGCCCGTGACGAGCACAACATGAAGGCCGGTCGGGCAGGTCGGGGCTACAAAGTCCAGCAGCGAGCGGCGCGCGTCCACGAGCTATGAGTCCCGACCCGAGCTTGTTCTCTCCAACTGATGTTCCGCGCGCGTCAACGTGCGATGTGTGCCCGGCAGTTCCATCAGTCCGCAAACTGAAGCGTACCATAATCCGCTTCGCTCTTTTCGCGACACATGCGGCTGCTCCCATCACTAGCGTGGCAGCCTGACCACGCCGGCTGACCGCGGCACGCTGCAGGACGCAGCGGCCGTCGGCAGCTGACTGACCTGCACCAGATGGGCGGCGGAGACGGCCGGCCGGCTGACGACGGGCCGCGCCTGGCCCGGCGCCGGCTCCGGCTCGCCGGCGGCGGCGGCCGCCACCACCAGCGGCGCGGCGCGGCGCGGTCCGGCCGGCGCCGGCGCCGCCGCCGGCCGCGGCGCGCCCACGATCAGCGAGGGTGCGGCGCCCATCGGACGCGGCCGCGCCGCCAGTAGCGGCCGAGGGGGCGCCACCAGCACCGAGGGCGCACCGGCCGCCGGCCGAGCTGCCGCCGCCGGCAGCGGGCGCAACTCCGACTTGACCGCCTGCCGGGCAGAGGCGGCGGTCAGACAGGGGGTATTCGGGCGCATCGACCGCTCCGCCACTTAGGCGAGGGGATCTTACGGCGCGCCGACATCAGAGGTCACATCACCTTACGGCAGCCACTTAGCAACACCCAGTCGGCGGCAGACGTTCGAAGCAGAGCCCGGCGGCTGACAGAGAGGAGCCCACATCGGGATCACCAGGCCAGACGGTGACGCCGCCCGCTCCACCGACGCCTGACGCGCTGCGTCACTGGGCACGGAGACGCGCCATGAGCGGGCGCGGCGGCCGGCTCTGGCGCCCGCGCACCTGCGGCTGGTTGACGATGGGGATCAGCTTGCCGTTGGCCAGCAGCGCCAGCTGGGGCGCGGCGCCGGGCGTCTTGGGCGGGATGTGTACGATGGCGTGCTGGTTCTTCACCACCTTCACCGACTGGACGGCGGCCGCAGCTGGAGGCGCAGGCACACGAGTTGTGGGACGGTGGGGCTGACCGGGATATCAGACGGGCACGGATTCTGGCGACACGGCCGTTCGCGCTGATTTTCTCTGCGCCCGCCGCTAGCAGGGCTCGGTCGGGCCGGCAGGGCCGGTAGGGCTAGGTCGGAGGCCACAGAGCACCACGAGGGAGACTTCAGCATCCGTGAAGTAACAGTGAGCCTGACCGAGACAGCCACGTGTGGCCGCCCGCCACGCCAGTGACGACGCACCGCACATCACACCGGGCAGCGACTGACCCAGGGCCCGTGGCTGACCTTGCTGCGCTGGCGAGGCGGGCGCGGGCGCCGGAGCAGCCGCCGACGTCACTCCCACGGTCCGCGGCACCACCAGGTGCGGGCTGGCCGACACGGCCGCCGTCTGAGGACACGGCACACCGGCACGTCAGCGCGGCGGCGCGAGGCGGCGCACGACCCGCGCCGGTCATGACGCCACCGCGCCGCCCCGCATACCTTGTGCGCAGAGCAGACGAAGGCGACAATCAGCGGCGCGCACGACGCGGCGAGATGCCGGCAGCACTGAACACACCACCCACACCGACCACACGCATCACAGAGCCCGACCTCGGCCCCACTGGGCCGGCTTCCGCCGCAGCCACGTCGCGTCTGGCGGTACACGGTGCGCCGGGCGCCCGCGCCGCGGGCCTCACCGCGAGCGTGGCGGGCAGGGTGCGCGCAGGCTGGGCGCCGACGGGCGCGGCCGTCGGCAGGATGCTCTGCACGGCCAGCTCCGTCTGCGTCAGCGAGGCGGCCGGCTCCTGCGCAGGCACGCACGGCACGCGTCAGCCATATGGCACCAACGGCACGCAGCCCTGGCGTCTGGCCGTGTGCAGGGGCGGATCTAGCCTGGAGTTTTTTTTTTTTGGGGGGGGGGGGCAACCGTTCGTCGCCAGCTGCCTGGTGTGGGATCCGAGGTCCAATGCATGGTGCGTGGTGCTTTTCGCGAGTACCTAGTAGGGACACCATTCAAAAACGAAAAAAGCACCGAAATGTTCTTGAATCTTGAACGGAAGTTAAAACAAAACAGTTTAAAACAGTCAAAGTTAAAACAGATGGCAAGTAGACGAAACTTGTATGGAGTTCTGACAATGTTTTTTTTTGGGGGGGGGGGGCAAAAGCATACTCTCAGAGGTTTTGGGGGCCATGACCCCGTGCCCCCTCCCCCGCCCCCCAGGATCCGCCTATGGCCATGTATGGTGGTTCGCAGGCACGTTGGCGGCCAGGGCCGTCGCGTGCAGACCGGCGTCGGTAACAGGGCGGGTGCGACGGCGGGACGGCAGCACAGGCACGCATGATCGGGAGCTGGGTGGAACGAGACGGCAAAACGGACTTCAATCCCGGTCCGAGACCGTCCGGTCTACGGCGCACCGACAGGAGTAGCTGCAATCAGCCGTCACACCACAGATCGTTCGCTGTTCACATCAAAACAACACGCTGCACCGACCTGCGCCGCTGCCGGCTGAGGCAGCGCAGGCGGCGGAGGCGGCGGTGGAGGCGGAGGCGGTGGTGGCGGCGGCGGAGGCGGGGGCGGCGGCGGCGGCGGCGGGGCGGTGTACGCCGGCCGGCTGGCGGTCGGCGGCGCCGGGACAGGCGCGCGGCTTCAGCAGCGACACGCCGGCGGGCGCGGCCGACCGCGCGGGCGCCGCCACCGTCGGCGTCCGCTTGACGGTGGTGCGCCGCCGCGGGCTGCTCAGCTGCCGCTGCCGGTCGATGGCCTCTGCCGACGGCGCGGGCCGGCGTCAGAGGGCGGACACGCCGACACCCACATCGAGGACACTGCGGGCGTCAGGCGGCCACGTGATCACGCGCTCAATGCTGTCGGTACGGTCGTGCCGGTTTAGTTCGGGCAGCACTCGCGCGCAGCCCCCGCATCAAGATGGGTCTGTGCGACATTCAG